GCGCTCTGAATGTTTTTAAGCACTCATATGCAAGACACTTTGCAAGAAAGGGTTTTCCCCAAAGCACAAGAAACACAAGAAAATACTATGTATTGTTCGAAGTCCCAAAATAATCTGATTGTTCAGATTCCAATAAACATAACCCAACAGTTCAGCTTCCTGCAATCATTATCATAGGGTAATCCTATAGCAAACATACATAGCTTCACTGGTTAAAAAAGATAGCAATCTTTTCCCCCGAAAACTTTCCTATAAATGCAATCAATTGATTTTATAGCTGTGATTTAAGACCTATCCAAAAGAGTGAAAGGTAAAGGTAAATGTTATCCAAAATATCAAATTGTATGTTCAGGCGGATGAATGTTGGTGGGTGGCTCCTAGAGAAGACACATGGCTCAAGATGGTGCCGAGAGTGGGGACAGATGGTAGGGAACTGGGCAGCAGCTGCAAATAGGCAGCATCAACCCAGAGCAACTCCACTGCAAGCTGAGAGAGAAGAGTGGAGCAATACTCATCTCCTCCTCCTGCTACCTAGTGTGGAGACTGTCCATAGGGAAGCTGGTGGACAGGGGTGATCAGAGCCCTTGCATCACATCCTTCTTGCAACCCAGACACACAAGAGACCCAGGAGTTCCGGGCTGGGACCCCACAGGAATTTTAGGTGCCAGATACTCGTTTCTTCACCCAACATAACTGTGAAGAGACCCTTCATTAATCAGCCCTAAATTTCAAACCAGACTTTTGAGGGTCAGCACAACTACCCATCCTGATGCCTGATGACCCTTTGTGGGATTCCAAGAAATCTGATGGTTCAGCTGCACAGAACAGTCACAGTTGTGGCCGAGACAGCAAAGGACAGTGGCAAACAACAAGGTCTTGAAAAAACGTGCCATGCATTGGGACGGGTTTCTAGGGGAGTGCAAAACACTGACTGTCAATCTCTACTGGTATTTCACTGTGATATAGCAATAAGCTGTGTTGGGGAACGGGTGGAATGTGCGCTTCATTAATGTATGTGTGCAATTAATCAGTCTCTCTTATTGGTTCCCTTAATCTTTAATTACATCAGGGCATGATAAAACTATGAATGAAAAAAATAGGAAGTAACTGAAATCAATGAAAAAAAGTCTTATGAACATGCAAAGTTATTAGAGAAATACAAGGATTTTAATTAAAGATGCTGGCTCCAAGCAAAAATGCTGGGTTACCCTGATTGATCTAAGATGCTAGTTCAGCTCTTTCTGTCTCCCCCTACACAGCTCCCACTTGCCTTTTGCTGCTCTAATTGGGTACTTACTGCATCGGCACCTTCTTTTTCTCAGCAACATCAGCTGCACAAAGACTGTATAAATACAATTATGCTCAGGCCAAACTCCTGTACACACACACAGTCATGGAGCATCTCACATTTACTGAATGTTTATGTTTCGGGTTTGATTTAAAGGCTGTTTGCCTTTTTTGCATTCCCTTAGTTGGGCCTATATTTTAATTTAGATTTTTCTCTTTTGTTTCAATTACATTCATCTAGGACAAAGTGCATAATCTGTCACTTTAATAAAATAACATATTCAATTTGTAAAGGTTTCAATTTCTTTTCATATGAAAAGTAAAAACATCCCCAAACTCTTAACAGACATCAACAGCAAAAGTAGTATCAACCTAACTATAGATTTTTAACTTCTAAAAGAGTTTATTCTTGTGTTTTTTTAAATTGGTTTACATTCTATGTAATGGGTGCCCAATACTCTTTGAAAAAGTATTTCCACATTAGCCTCTCCTGACACTGAAACAAAGAACATCACCTAGCTTTTAAATGTTCAATATTAATATTTACTAATAATTTAATTGTAAAAGAAAAATGGATTGTTAACTGCATAAAGCAGTACCCTGAAATTACATCTTCTCTACTTCCTAATAGAACAGCTTATTTTAAATTTCTTATTAATTGTCTTCTTAAATACGTACATTTTCTTGTCACATTTAGAGAGACATTAGGACAGAGTCAGATACGGGTGGTGTTTCAAATAGTACAAAGTATATTGAGACAAGAAGTACAAAGTATAGTGAGACATTGCTAGAAGGCAACATAAGAAGAGGCTAGGTAGATGATATTTATGCAAAAAACAAAAGGATTTTAATTTTTTTCCATATGTAATTTGAAATGAAAGACACGGATTAGGATCTTCCATTTTTAATCCTTTTCTAGGAAAATAATTTAAATCTTATCTTGGGAGGGGGGCTCATTAGAATTTTTTGCTTCAGTGATTCAATAGAAAAAGAATGAAATTATTAAAATGTAGATGCACCTCCGAGTTGTTTCTAGGAACAAAATTGTTTGACACTGGGATGTAGTACTGCTGAAGTGTTTTCCTACACACGTTTGAAAGACATGCATCCCCAAGGTGACTAGGTTAAAGTATACGCTATGTTTGTGATACCATTCATCCTATCTCTGGCTTGTATCTAAGAATAACGTTTATGAGCTTGAAAGCCAGGCATGTTTTTTAGAGTCAGAAATGAAGGCAGCAAAAGCGTAGCACCACTTGCATTTTTATATTTTGAGTCCCTGCTCACATTCTTATTCTTTGCTTCAAACAGTTTGCAGGAAAAACACATTTTGAGAAAGCACAATGAAGAAATGCCCATTGCCAGCCTAATATTCAGCTTTTGCCTTAAAACCTGCTGTTTATCCAAGGTGCAGCAAGGTCAGGGAGGCAAAGAGGAAGTATATGATATAAAACTAACTGCTGTCTTTGACAATCAGAGGCTGCAGAGTGTACTTCAAGGTAAAAGGCCAGAGAGCAGCTATTTCAAAGTAGAAATGTGTGATCTGTGTATCTCTCTGGAAGTTAGGTGGCATATGTCTTTCCATAGTTTATTATTTTAAAGCCGCTGTTGTGCCTTAGCCTATCCTTACTGTTTGGATTTGAGAGGGCAGTCACTGTGAAAAGAGAGATAGCTGTCACTCCTGGAGCAAACCTACCGTGCAGCTCTGCTAAGCTTCTGACTTCACAACACTGCAGATAAGTTTTTCTCTCTCTGGTATTACTACATTAATCCATCAAATCAGTTCGCTTATCTAAGAGCAGTGCTTTGTTGAGGTTGAGACCATGGGAGCTGATCCTGCCACAAGGACTTCTGCAGCCACACAGAGTCCAGTTGGACTTTCCCACTTTACATAAGGCTGGAGCCTCTGCTTGCTGGCACAAAGGCCTGGGGGAGGATCATACCATCCTTATATAAAATAACTGCCAAGGTTTTACGGTATTCTTGGATAAGCTAACCACATAAGGCCTGAATAAGTCTACTAAAGTTTGGATGAATTACACAGATTCTTACAGAGAAACTAGTTTTAATAGACAAACAGGCCTCTCCTTGGGACAGAGAAAGAACCAACATTAATTAATGCTAACCGAACCATGATATAAAGTAATTTGGTCAGCTTGGGTTTAAGTCCCTTTCCATTACCTATTTCAGCCCGTAACCTTGATGTAAGGAGGCCTTCTGAGCACTGATCTTTTTGGGGCTTTCATGAACACTGCCAGCAAAGGAAGGAGATGTACTAGCTCGATTCAGATAAAGAAGAATCTGCTTCGCATCACTGTACCTGGTTCATTATGCAGTTACTCCTACAACCTGTCCTAAGTGTTTTTAGTTACACCTGCACATAAAGCTCAATGTGAAACAGTAATATAAGAACACGTTAACTTTAGCAGAGCTGTAACTGTCATCAGCTTTGCCAGCAACATCAGCTGATGCTCCTGAACAAAAAGCAGCGCTTGGCAGGGTGGCAGAGCCTCTGCAGGCGTGCAGCTCCGTCACATGTGCCCTACACTTTGCCACGGACAGGAGGTCAGCTTGGATTTCCCGCTCCTGCTAAATGTTCATGTCAAGCCGTCTGCCATTTCTAATTTCCTTTTATCTTCTTGCTTCAAGCAGTCAAAAAAAAAAAAAAAAAAAGCATAGTTGCACTATTCCTAATATTTCCAACAAAAAAGGCAGATGACATCGGGCTATCATCAGTTCAGAGAGTTAGTTGGTGTACTTGCTTGATAGCAGTTAATTCGTCACAATCCCTTCCTCCTATCTACAACTCAGCCAAGAAAACAAGCACAAGCTAGAGCAGCGCTCTCTTGGGGAGTTATCAGCAACCATTTCATTTCCTAGGAACAGTGACTCCAGTAAACACAACCAATTTCCACGCTCCTAAATTTCAAAGAAAGGGTATGTAAAGGTTAGCTCTGTTCCCTTAAGGGGGGGGGAAGAAAAAACTTGTAGGAAAAGACAGCTCTCAATTTTCTCCACTTTTATATTTGCTAATATTGTGACTGCACTTCTAGCTCTTTAGTGCTCATCTGAAGGAGCTGAAAGCGCATAAGGAAGAGACTCTCTGTATATAGTTCTTTTTTATTCATTTAAATGCTCTCTAAATTCAAGAGGACAGACAGACGTTGTGAACAACGCTTCACTTACTATTTCTTCACAAAAAAACCCTATTATTCTCTTTCAGTACAACTCAAATACACTCTGAAGTTATTATAAAGAGAACAATTCTGCAAGATAACTAATATTCCCAGGCTCCCACTGAAATTAACAGAGTATTTTGGCATTAGGAACTTTGCAGTGTCAGGCCATCATTAAAGATCTCCAAATCTGCCTTATAGTTTTTTCTATTCCTGCAGCATTCATTTCAGTGTATTCCAAAATAACCAACAATATTCCCAGGAGTTGTGCTCCATGTTGCCACCAACAAGTGAAGAGAAAATTCAAGTTAGCTTAAGTATTTTAGAAAGCATTAGCGAAGAAAGAAAAGCATAAATTCACGTACGTGCGAAAAAAAACAGATCATCTGTTGGTAAAAACATATTGAAACAAAATTAAAAATTTTAGAATTATACTAAACCAGAATTTATAGCATCCTTTCACAATTAAAAAAAAAAAGCAGGATCGCTATTACATCATTGTTCAGTCCTTTGCTTCTCAGAGTCTTGCATACTTACAGGTCTGGCAGTGATTCTCTGTGGGTCCCCAGCATCGGCCTGTGCAGGACTTGTGGCATCGACCACCTGCAGGACAGACAGAAAGAGAAAGAGATTAGAAATGTGGCTTCCTTTCATTTCTTCAACATCCAACAACTGCTGAAAAGGAGGGTCTATCTTGTCTTTGGAGGGTTTTTATGCTTTACCAAGGTTGAAACAGCACCTGTAAAAAATGGCCCAGATAAATAGCCAGAATTGGTGTTGAACATTGATGAAGTATGGCTACTTTTTAAAGTAAACCCTAAATACCTCTCTACTATGTATAATGACCGGGACATTTTAAAACAACAACAACAAAAAGATAAACAAGGCTCGAGAACTTAGGAACAATTTCATCACCCAGTGCTATTACTATTGCTCTCTATATCCCTATGTAAGACCCACTCATTCCTCTACAGGAGAAGAGATGGCTGTGCTAGAGAGGATCTCCCCTCCCCAGTCATGTTCAATTTCATCTGAACAATGAGGCGATACTCTCAATGCCTTTGATTAAAAGCCACCCCTCTCTCCCGCAAAAGCTTGCATTGTCTTCATGTCCTATTGGACATTACCTTCATGGTAAAGGAAACGTGCCCTGGTCCACTACTTAACCCCAGTGACAGCTAAGCTCACGGGACTTTTCCTTTTCTGCCTGCTGGTTCTCTTCTGCAGTTGTGATTTTGAAGGAACATCATGTTTCTTCAGAACCTAGAGGTGATGTTCTACATCATCCTTCCACATGCTGACAAGTTTAGTCCCTCGAGAAAAGGAACTGTATGTGCTTTCATTGTAAAATACAGATGGAGGAGGACAAGTTAGCAACGGTAGCTTTTATAAACTACCTAGTAATTAGTGACTGAAACTCGCTTGGACTGAAGAGAGACTTGAGTTCACATCCTCCATTTCACGGCTAAATGCTGACCACTGTGTGAGGGAATGGAGAGCAGGCAGAAGAACTGGCGCATTCTCCTCTGGCTGCATCTCACATTGTTTGAGAAAACACTCAGACAGTCCCATGCTAGTCCTGACTGCGAGTGAATAGAGACCTCAGTCCGCAGCTCCCATCCAGACGCGGCCAGAGCTCAGTCACACTCCTGCTTTTAGTGCTTCTCCCTGCTGAATGCCAAACACTCCCGGAGCTCGCAAGAGAGCTGCCTTACTGCACCCTGAGCCCAGCTGGTAAAACCCAGGTGTGGCAGTGCCTGAGGTGTAGGCACCCAAGCCCTGAAGGGATGAACTGAGAAACCCAACATAAGTGTTCTTAAATGACTATGTTAAAAGCACTATACACAGTCCTTATCGCTGCTTTTTTGACCACAAGAACCTAACCACGTTTCTGATTAAACTTCTATTCATCACTGAATACTGCTGAGATTCTATTAAGCAAATTTCCCCCTTTGAACCTGATCCAGAAACTTACCTTTCAATCCTCTATTAACAGCAGCTGCTGTTAACACTGCTCCATTACACTAAATCAAATACTTCCCACATGCCCTGATGGGAGATAGCATTGGAGAAAATACAAAGTGTCTCTCGGCAAAGGCTGGACCCCCCCATAAGAAAACACTGCTCCTCTGCTAGCAGTGTGCTTATACTAAGAGACGTTATAGAGTTGAGCAAACCCACTGTGACAGTTGTGTAAAGTCGGACTTTCTGTCACTACTTTTTCAAAGCTAGCGTTCTTCCCTCAGCCCTCGCACAGCATTCATGGCGCTATTGATGATGTTGTACGGTAATTACCACGCTGCATGCCAACTACCTTGTTAAAACTACCAGCTCCTTGCTGCATTCATGTTCATTTAAAGCAATTATACTCGGGAAGCGTTGTTGCTGACATCACCCGCACATAATTTGCTGTCACATTCTGCCATCTGTTTATTTAGATCACAAATGTACTATAACTACATAATGCAAACTCATTCTGGCTGACAGGGAGGGGACTCCATCTGGCATGAATAATGCAACTTTAATCAGTAATAACGATTATTATGATTTTTAAGAGACTACTGGAACCCTGTGCAGAAAGCAAATATTGATTTATAAGAATGGAAGCTTAAAAAGAAGGTGAGGTAAACAGCAAATTAAAAGAAGAATTTTAACAGGGGAGACTCAGTAGGATACAGTTTGTTTGTTGGCTTTGGTGCTCACCCAACTGAATAAAAACGATCCCCAGGAAGTGGGTTTTATAAACTGGCTATCCCTGACCAACAGAAGAAGTGGGAAGGCAAAAGGGTAGGGCCCCCGGATGCACGCTCAAATAACCTTTTCACAACGTGCTTTGTCCTCACCTGAGCAGGAGCTTCCCTGCTAAGGGCAGCTAGGGAGGAACCACAACCCATGGACAACAGGGCCTCCTCTTGCAAGACCCTATTTTATGCCCGATCCTTCCTTGCAGTCAAATCTCACGCCTGTCTAGCTTAAGGGTCTGGAGTTGAGGGAGAAAGCCAGAAGTCTTGCAGCTAAATGCAGTATAAAGCAGTGCACAGATCACTTGTAACCACATATACCTAACGCAGAACAGGGCACCAGCTTGGCTGTTTCTTCCTTGTTCTGTCCCTGGATTCTACCTCCTTCCAAAACATACTTTATGCACTGGGCTTTTCACTGCAGTACCTGCAGTCAGACAACACAGAAGAAACTTCAAGCACTCCTCCAAGTGATCTCTAACTAGAGAGGCCGCCCACACTTCTGCAAAATCTACACTTAAAATAAAAATCTTCATATTTGAAACTCCTAGATGCTGAGCTGACCCTCGGTACACAGTCAGCTCTATTCCTACTAGAAATAAAAGTGATCCAGCATCTTCAAAAATAATTTAAAAAACTTTTTTAACTTGCACGCGTGCTTTCTGGTACATGACTTTGTTTGGCAGTGTCAGATGATCATTTGCATTTAAATAGAGATATTTAACAATATAGCAAGAAAAGGCTGCCAGTTTTCTTTTTTCTCATTGGGAACTCAAAGTATGTGCTTCATTGTTTTCACTTTTCTCAGCTGCACAGACACAACAAGGAGCTGAGCTCGTAGGCAGCACACCTCTGAATTGCATTGTTACATGCCCTTTTGAAGGTGAAATATTCTGAGAATTAAAAACAAAAAACAGACTCCCTCCAAAGAGTGTGTCTCTATTGGTTTGTTTGTTTAAAAAGAAAAATAACTTTCTTTGCTCTCAGCATGAAATGGTCCAAATTCTGCCCTCACGTAACTCCATATTTCACCTGTTTTTTCCCACTGTAATAAGGACAGATTGCTACCCATTAAAGATCATGTCTGTAAATCTAACACAAAAATAGTCCCATGGAAGTCAACATCAGTAGCCAGGAGCACAAGGAGCATTCATGTGAGGAACAGGTTTCACAATTAGATGTGTATGTAAGAATTAAACAGTAATAAATCTATTGGCCCCAAGACTGATGAGGTCCTTGAAATAATTATACTACTTCTCACAGATCTTTCTGTATATATTTCTTCGGATTTTTAAATTGTAGTGAGCCAACAGATTTGAGAAAAAATTATCAAACAATTCTTGACATAAAATAAATTATTCCTGTTATTCCTTGTGTCTCTAAAATATTCTAAATCCCTCCAATATACAGAAGTAAGGACTAAAAGAAACAACCAATGAAGAAATGGCAAACCATGAAACTGCAGAAGTGTTCTTCCTTTTGCTTTGATGCAGCAAAGGGTAAAGAGGTAGAACTCCTTCCCATGACTTCCTCCACTGGTTCTTGACATCAAAAGATGCTGAGTGTCCTAAAGTCCTGGTGGCAACTGGGGGGACCTACGAGCACTCAGCTGTTGTGAAACAGCCCATCTGTAACAACTCATCATATATATTCTTATTACAACCAAACAGTGATCCCAGAATTAGCTGGAATTTGGCAAAAGGAAAATAATTCCACAGGGCTCTACCTTGTAAGCACGACCTTGCCCATTCAGTTAATTCTTGCACATTAGCGAAGGCACACACAAAAAAAGTTGGGTTTTTTTCTTTCCTAAATGAGATATGGAGAGGAAGAACCTAGAAAAGTCTCCTGCCTCATTACAGATGTAATGCTAGAGTACATTTCTGCTCCTGAATAATAGCATTGTTTTGCATACACAATAACATTTTATTCATTAGATTGCAGAGGAGGAGAGAAGGAGTTAAAAGGATGCTTACATAATTTTTACAGGGTTTCTTATGAAATCTAAGTTTAGAAAGGGCAGATACCCACTGGAACATAAGAAATAATTTTGCTTTGGCAAATTCCACGTAGAAAACCAATGGCTCGTCTTCCCTTAGCCAATACTACCACAACAGTTCCTCATTATGGACTGTGGTGCAGAGTACCCTTGTTGTAACTTCCAGGATAGAGTTTTATCATGGGAGATGCTTCTGTTCTTCCAGTCGGGCAAAGTCACCAGCAGAAAATGTTTGCTTACTAGCTTGGGAAAGACCAAGGTTACTTCATCCTTGTGTTTTCCTGAGAATTGAGAAGGGCTTTCCTTTAGCTCCAGACTGACTTTATTATTTCAGGAACAGTAAAACCGCAAAGGATTAAGTTACTGACAAGACAAGAAAAATGAAGTCCTCCTCTTAGCTTTAAGCTCAGTGTAGTACAGAGAAGAAACACTGCTTCTTGCCCATCTGCCTCAAGCAGTCCTACCTCAGCAGAAGGAAAGCAGAAATAAGAGAAGAAATAGTCTCACTCTGCACAAAGCTTGCATTTACAGATGGTTTCTACCAGGTTAATAAATCATTAATAAATGTTAGCGTATCTGCAATACACTGATACAAAATAAAGTGGCTTTGATGGCTACAAGCTATGGTTATAAGCAGCCTCTTTACTTATCTAAGAGTCTGAAATAATTGATTAACTATCAAAACATCTATAAATCATTTATTAGCTTCTGCAAGCTACTTATAAACTCATCCTTCACCTAAAAAATTCACTTCTGCAAAAATGCTAGCGATGCCATATAGATGTTTCTAGACATAACTAGCCCTAAGGTCCAAGAAGTTCCAGGTATACTCTACAGTAAGAGTCCCAGTCTCTTATTTCCAC